CAAATATTTGACTATTATTGTTTCCTTTTTAAAAAGGTATAGCATGACATAAGAACTATAAAGTGGTGAATAATATAAGCCTGCGAATTATTTAGAAATAGTGGTGGATAAAAATCTTCTAAATTGAATTTATTAAACCAAGAATCACGATTGATAAACTACTACTTTAAAATATATATTTGTCGTCCGGAGCAAGTTGGCATCTTTGCAAATTTATAAATTCTGCAATTATAACTACAAATAAACTTGATTAGAGATTATAAATTTATAAATATTGTGATTATAGCAACAAATAAACTTGATAACAGATTTTAAATTTATAAATTCTGTAATTATAACTACAAATAAACTCGATAAGAGATTATAAATTCTGTGACTATAACTACAAATAAACTCAATAAGAGATTATAAATTAATCAAGTCTGTACGATAAGAGATTATAAATGTATAAATAGTTTAATTATAACTACAAATAAACTAGATAAGAGAGCATAAATTCATAAATTCTGTGATTATAACTACAAATGAATTCGATAAATTTATAAATTCTGTAACTATAACTACAAATAAACCCGACAAGAGATTATGAATTAGTGAATTCCGTGACTAACTACAAATAAGCTTGATAAGAGATTATAAATTTATAAATTCTGTAATTATAACTACAAATAAACGCGATAAGAGATTATAAATTTATAAATTCCGTGACTGTAACTTTAAATAAACTTGATAAAAGATTATAAATTTATAAATTCTGTGACCATTACTATAAATAAACTCGATAAGAGATTATAAATTTAAAAATTCTGTAATTATAACTACAAATAAACTCGAGTATAGATTAAAAATTTATAAATTCTGTGATTATAACAACAAATAAACTCGATAAAAGATTATCAAATAAATAAACGCATAACTCACACGTGAAAATAGCACCGACATTAAAAAAATAATGAAGTAATATTTCCCACATCCTTTCAATGGTTTAAAAGAATAAGTGGATCATAAATATCCCTTATAGAAAAAAATGGGAAATATTTTTTTTCGGTTAATTTTTTTTACATATATTTAATTCAGATTTAATCGAATTAATTGGGTCAAATGATAATCAATGTTTCATTCAAGTTCATATTAATTAAGCATTGTTTCAGATTTTTTATTAATTTTAACCAGTTGTTTGATTCATATTTACGAAGCCGTAATCAGGATTCGTGAATCATACTCATAAAGTATGATTGTTCATATTTTACAACCTAAGAATGGATGTGCGTACCATATTACTGAAATTGTAAAATATTGGTGTTCAGTTATATTTTGTGAAATGTAATGATTTGGTTGGTTGGTTGGTTGGTGTCGTATCCTCTATAGAATCATATTTCATGGTGTGCTTGAATAGTTTTTGTTATTTCTATGGCATTAAAAGAATACAAATCCTCTTCTGTGGGGTAGTTCAAGAGGTGAAGGCCTGCAGCGACTGCAGGGCAGTTAAAAACATGATATGGTGTCAGTTCCACATTAAGACAGTTGCCACAGTTTTGATATTTTCTAGTCTTATCTGTAGAAATTTTCATGTTTTTATGATGTTTTGTTCTTAGTCTGATGAGAGTAGTGGCTGTCTTCCTATCGATGTCAAGATTAGTTATTTGATCTTGGGCTTTGATTTTTAAAGGGATGTAATGATTTGATCTAGCACTATAGGGTCAGGTGGGTAAAAGCGCATATAAAATCAAGCTTTTCTTAAAGGAAGCTCTAAAACCAAATTATTAAATTTATTTTACCGAAAAAGTTGAGGCATTTATATGCATTGGATTCATATCGATTAAATATGAAGCATAACTTATTTATTTTGTTTGCTTCAGCAGCTTAAACTGACATAATGTAAAAGTATATCACAAACAGATAGTTCGTAAACATTAAACTTTTTATCAGTTTCTAAAACTGAAATAAAAGTGCTTGTTGCAATCCCAATATTTATAAAAATATTATACAAATTATCTCAATTTAAAAGGAGAAAATAAATGTTTCTTTTTTTTTCTAATATACATACCTACTTTTCCTCATGCACCCACTTTACTCCGCGTGATTCTACTGACTTGTTGTTCAGCAATAATAGAATTTGAGCACTCCAAGTATTAGGTTGATGATTGCTAATGAATTAGCTCTGGAAAAAAAAACCATGTTTTACTTTTTACTTTAACATAGTAACTTCAAAATTTAAATTTAAAAAAAAAGTTTTTATCATTCTAGATGTTGAGAAGCATCCCATAACAAATTGTACTGAATTGTTTTTATCAAACTACTTTCTAATGTTGGAGAATTTATTCAAAATTTTAATCAAAATTCACCAAAATAAATTTCTTTTCAAAGAACTCTTAATTTGTTTTAACGATGTGAAGAATTTAGGTTATCACAAATAGGAGGATTTTAATTTTCATAAGCAAGTGAAAAATAATTTCTATGGCGACTACTTTTTAGCTGAGCTTGAAGCAGTAAATATTTGGATTTCTATAGAAATATTAAGTAATATACATTTATGATTTATTTTTAGTAGAAATGTTTATAAGGATAACTTTTGACTTCAGCGAGTTGAGAGATGTGCTAATTGAAATTGTTTTTTATTTTACACGAAAAAATTTCTTAAAATTACCGTACTATGTGGTAAAGACATTTCTGGTAAAAAAAAATAATTCTAGTTATGTAAAAAAAATACACGGTATTTAAATCATTCACAAGGAAAAGATTTCCATTCATATGGAAGCGGGTTACTGATTTTCAAAATTATAGTTCTTAGTACCACACATTTAGTAAAAATACAAAATGTAAAAATAAATTTAACCAAATCTAACGGTTTTATGCCCTACTCTAAGGTATCACTATAAATTTAACAAATTTTACAACACTTATCAAGCTATAAAACAGATTATAAAACGATATTTTATTTTTAATTTTAGAAAAATAATTGCCAAAACTCTTTGGTTAAAATTACCCAGCTTTTGGTATTCCCACAGAGCCAGAAACATGGAAAAATTTACCATATTCTGGTAGTTTTCACCATACTTTTTTCTCAGTGTATGCTTAAACTGCGTGTATAAGAATAATAGTATCTGTTTATTAAAACTTTATAGATTTTGATATAAATTATGCGTTATTCTCAAATAAATAAAGAACATTTAACCAAAATTAGTAAAGTTATTTGTTTATTTAAAAATAACAATTTATGCAATTTATTAAAATTATTCAGTTCTTTGTATGCTGACTTATAGTAAGTAGTTCAGGTTTTAGTACATTATCCGTAATTTGAAACTAATGTCGCAGATTACTGTTAATATGGTATGGTTAATATGGTATGAGATGCTTGCTTTAACACATCATGCATTTGAAGCATTCATTTTACCAGTTTAAAGAAATTAATACTATTACAATTGTTTCAAAATACTCAATCGTGTATTTATAGAAATTAAAATACGAGTTATATTTTTTTTACTAGGGCTGAAACACTGAACACATTTTCCTCTGTGATAATCTTTTTCTTCACAATATTAAAACAAAACATTTCTAGAAGTATAAGAGATAACTACATAAGATTTAACATTTTAAGCTTTTCTTAAAACAAAATGGCAAAGTAAAATTCAATAAAATCTGTTAAAATTGTTTTTATGTAATTCTTGGAGCCATTTAAATAATTTTCCTCGCAATAGTAGAAGATGTTGATTCACTTTTCTAGAAAATGTTGAATTAAATACTTGGTAACTAAAACATTGCAATAATCATAATAATGACTTAATCAACACTAATAACAACTGATATCAGGTTAAATCTTCAATGTTAAAAGAGGTTTTTAGTTTTTTATGTGCATTATTCAAAGTTAAATATGATAGGTTTTTAGTTTTTATCTGCATATTTCTTTCTTTGAACAAAATCTCGAGTGCAATTTATTTTTTCTGTTCAAATAAATATACATCTTTTTCAAAATATATGATGCTAGTAATAATATTTTTAGAATTTCTGAGGATCTTAATGATTATTTACTTTTATATTTGCAATTATGACTAATAATTTTCATGACGTAAAAGTTCGATTTAGTATTCTAAATTAAGTATTAAAACTAAATAAATTATTAAAACTAAATAAAAATCAGCATCAGATAATTATAACAATCGCTACAAGGTAGTTTTATCAAATATATCAATTGCATCATTCGTAGTTATACACTGAAAAAAACGTATGGACAAAATTACCAGAATATGGTAAAATTTACAGTGTCTGGCTCTACAAGAACTCCGAAATGCTCGATAATTTTTATCAAACCGTTTTAGCAATGAATTAGATTAATAAAAAAGTATATGTTTATAATATGTGATAAAATTTGGGAAACTTATCATGATACCTTAGACAATAGCATGAAAACCATTTATTCGATTAAATTCACTTCTTAGTTTCGTATTTTTAACTAAATTTGTGTTAAAAAGAATAATAATTTCAATAGTTCTCGTTAAACCGTTATACCGGCCAACAGTTATCATATAAACGGATCAATTACAGAATGAATGGTTTAAATACAGTATACTTAGGTTTCATTAACCAGAATTATGTTTTTTTTTTAATCAGAAATGTTATTTTTACAGAATATGATTATTTTAACAGAATTGTTTTCTTCCTGTAACATAGTGTGCATATGTAATTACATTAAATGAATGAAATAACTGCTTCTAAGTTGATAAAAAATACAAATACGTTTTTAATATGAATTAAAATAAATAATAAATATATTATTTTATGTATCAAGTTAAATAAAGTGCTGCTAAATTAGATTTACTTATACTACTTTCAGATAAGAGTTAATATTACTCAAATGTGGTTAAAATATGTAATTTTAATATTTTGTATTCTAGGATTGAAAATTATTTCATTCGTTTGGTGTTGTATGATCAGATATTACTTTTTTAACATTTTGAAAAGAAAATAGAAATTTAAATTTTTTTCAATCATTTAAATTTCAGGAGCTCCCCAAGCAGATTATTATGGTTCAAGTGAAGACGGAGGATGTCCGGAAGAGGGAGTGTTCGGCTGGGCACACGAAACAGCTTGTGATCAATACTATAAATGTACGAATGGAACATTCAGTCATGAACAATGTCCTAATGGATTAGTATTCGATGATAAAAATCCAGTTCATGATTTTTGTGCGTACTACTGGAAAGTGGACTGCGGAAAAAAGACTGTTGGTGTGTATCTTTTTATTACTTAAAAGGTAATCCAGAATTTAAAAATATTACTTTATAAAGCTTCACGAAAATTCGTAATGGTATATAGACGCTCTATGAAGTTAATTTTCAAACCTAAAAGTTTATTTCATTTAAAAATTTAATTAAAATTTTTTCTATTTTGTTGTGGTTATAATATGTTAATATGTGAAATACACAAGTGGGCGACCTTTGTGCTAGAATACGAACTAAGGTAGACAACGTTAAAGAGCACAAAAATATTATTAAAAGCAGACAGCTGTTTCGGATGCTCAAAGGGCAACCTTCATCAGTGCAACAGTGCCTGTTGCACTGATGAAGGTTGCCCTTTGAGCATCCGAAACAGCTGTCTGCTTTTAATAATATTTTTGTGCTCTTTAACGTTGTCTACCTTAGTTCGTATTCTAGCACAAAGGTCGCCCACTTGTGTATTTCACATATTAACATATTATAACCACAACAAAATAGAAAAAATTTTAATTAAATTTTTAAATGAAATAAACTTTTAGGTTTGAAAATTAACTTCATAGAGCGTCTATATACCATTACGAATTTTCGTGAAGCTTTATAAAGTAATATTTTTAAATTCTGGATTACCTTTTAAGTAATAAAAAGATACACACCAACAGTCTTTTTTCCGCAGTCCACTTTCCAGTAGTACGCACAAAAATCATGAACTGGATTTTTATCATCGAATACTAATCCATTAGGACATTGTTCATGACTGAATGTTCCATTCGTACATTTGTAGTATTGATCACAAGCTGTTTCGTGTGCCCAGCCGAACACTCCCTCTTCCGGGCAACCTCCGTCTTCGCTTGAGCCATAATAATCCGCTTGGGGAGCTCCTGAAATTTAAATGATTGATGAAATATAAATGAATTGAACTATAATAATCTGCTTGGGGAGATCCTGAAATTTAAGTGATTGATAAAATTTAAATGAATTGAACCATAATAATCTGCTTGGGGAGCTCCAGAAATTTAAATGNCCTCGACAACATCTGAAAACAAAATTCGTCTTGGTTTCAATATTTTGCAAGAGTAACGATGTTTTTAACGATTTTTAATTGCAATCATAAATTTTTTAATTTTATGGAATAAATAGTTCGTATGCCATACTCTAAGGTATTATGATAAAACCATCAAATTCTACCACATTTACAACCTAGTAACAAAGAGAAGAAAAAAAAACATATCTTTATGTTAATTTTACCAAAAGATAAACCAAATTTCTTCAATAATAATTACCATGCTTTTTGGTCTTCCCATAGAGCCAGAAATATGACAAATTCTACCATATTCTGGTAGTTTTGACGATACTTTTTTCTCAGTGTAAAAAATAAATCTTAATGTACATCGTTTCCTAATTTCAGAACCTCCCATTAGCAGCCCTGGCTGTCCTTACCAATTTGGTATCTTTCCTTCCGACAGCTGTACTCATTACATTCGATGTGCTTGGGGTGAAGCAAATGTAACAGACTGCGAAGAGGGTCTTGCCTACCAAGATGAATCTCATTCATGTGTATGGCCCGATGAAGTGAAAGGATGTGATAGCGAAGGTATTTTAGAATAACGTCATTACTTTATTGCGTATTAATGTTTTTCCTTCAAGGTTTTAGCTTCTCTAATGTTTTCCTAAAAAAAATTAAATAAAAAAAATTAATGGAATTTTAAATTTAATTATTAAAGGATGTGATAGCGAAGGTATATTAGAATGACGTTATTACTTTATTTGCCTATTAATGTTTTTCTTCCAAGGCTTTAGCTTCTATAATGTTTTCCTAAAAAAATTTAAATAAAAAAAATTAATGGAATTTTAAAATTAATTATTAAAGGATGTGATAGCGAAGGTATATTAGAATGACGTTATTACTTTATTTGCTTGCCTATTAATGTTTTTCTTTCAAGGTTTTAGCTTCTCTAATGTTTTCCTAAAAAAATTTAAGTAAAAAAAATTAATGGAATTTTAAATTTAATTATTAAAGGATCGGATAGCGAAGGTATATTAGAATGATGTTATTACTTTATTCGCCTATTAATGTTTTTCCTTCAGGGTTTTAGCTTCTCTAATGTTTTCCTAAAAAAATTTAAATAAAAAAAATTAATGGAATTTTAAATTTAATTATTAAAGGATGTGATAGCGAAGGTATATTAGAATGACGTTATTACTTTATTTGCCTATTAATGTTTTTCTTTCAAGGCTTTAGCTTCTCTAATGTTTTCCAAAAAAAAAAATTTAAATAAAAAAAAATTGCTTTTCAAATTTAATTATTCTTCAATTGTATCGCAAAAGGTTTGAAAATTAATGTTTCAATGGATAAAACAGGTGATAAATAAGCTAATAAAAATTTTTCTAATTTTAATTTTTTAAGGTCATGAGAAAAGTTTGTTTAATTTTTTTAATCTTTGTACAATTAGTCTGTACATAATAAAGAAACTAATATAATAAATAGTGAGACAAACGTAACACGTTCAAAATAGTCTTATTTATGTGCTCAGAAAACTTTAACACAAATAATACTTCTAAAACACAAATATTTCTATGTATAATCAATGATGTACTACTATGAAGGATATTTTGAAAAATCTAATATACAACCTAGTAAGCTATAATAATAATCCACAACAGACCGAAAGAAAAATCTAGTGTGTGGAAAACGTTTTTGCTGATACTAATTCATATTTTCAAACTATTCAGTTATTTTTAATTTTATTTAATTTTCAATAACATAAATTAATTCGTATTTAATTTTATAAAATATGATTGCATATTACAGAAACATGCCTTGGGCTTGATGTTTTAGCAGCATTGTAAAAGTAGAACCTCAAAAATAGCAGAAAGTAGTGTAACACTAAATTCTATAACTATCCTAAATATAATTCATAATATAATTCATGAAAAATATAGATTTTAAAGAAAACTTCCGAAAAGTTTATAGTGAATTTTGCTGTTTTTGATAAAGTTAATAATCAATTCTTTAATTGTATATTATAATGGCGTCGTATATGTGTAAGAAGAATACAAATCGAAACAGTAACAGACAAAAACGGGTTATTTTATTTAGTAGCTTGAAAAAATTCACGTGAGGTAAAAAAAAGAACTGTAGCTAAAGAGGAACTTTAAAATAACTAATTATTGTTATCAAAAATAAAAATAGGCATAAAAATTAACAAACTTATGATAAATTAAGTAGTATTTAGCCTATATTTTTAGTAGTTTTAACCTATATTTGTAATAGAATTATTATTAATTAGACATAATATATCATGTCCTTTTGATTGTCTAATTACTGTTTACTTCAATTTTTCCAACGCATTGCAACGCATTAAAAAATTCTAATAATTTATTGTAACTGAGTTGACGCGTCATTTAAAGTATTTATCATACAAATCATATTATATACGTGAAATTTAATATTGAAATACTTTATTATACAATTGAATTATTTTTCTTTATTACGTGTATCCCATCTAATAAATATTTTCAAAATTGTTTTCAAATATTTCTAAAATGTGAAGGAAAAAAAAGAGTTTTCAAAAAGTTAGTAGAATCAGATGTAAAAGCAAAATATAAATTTTGGAACTATTTACGTGCTATTGTTATAGTTAGGCGCAGAACTTTTTTTCACAATTTTTAATATAAATTAAAACCTTTCAAATTATTTTTAGATCAATTGGATTTTAACAAAAATATTCTCCCTTTTAAATGAGTTTTTCTGGTCAGATTTCTAAATGTCTATCTTTGTGGGCATGTTAAAGCGTGTGTGCACATTCTTTCCATTATTAACAAATCCTGTTTTAGTATCAAATGTGCTGTTTTGCTAAATTAAGTAATTTAGTGATAATATGATGTAAATGATTTGTATTGCATGACATTTATTTTTCCCCATTATTCAAAAGTATGTTATTCAATGCACTGTAAACAATTTCGGATTAAATTACTGTAAAAAGTACTAGCATCCTGAGTACAGCATTCGTAAACTCCAGTGATTTTACAGTATATTTAACTGTAAAAATTACAGTATAACAGATTTTTTTGTCCTTAAAATTTTACGGTGAAATGGGATCTTACGGTAAATCATTTCAGTCGTATGATGGCTTCTGAACAATCTTAAACCTTTAAGGCTGTTAATCGAAAGTCTTGTAGCCGCATGAAATTATGCTTGTTTGCGAGTAACATGCTATTTTTAGAACTGATGTGAGTTTTCAATAGTTATTCATGACCATAAGGTCAAGTTTAGCCTATCTTTAGCTAGTGCCCTCCATGTTTATTCTGAAAATGGAGCAAAAAGTCAATATGAAGAAGATCGACATTTTTTAGAAAATGAAAAGCGTTTGTGGTCTAATTTTTAATATTTAGAAACTTACTCCAGTGCTGCACTATCTGAGCTCATAAAAATTTGCAAAAAAGGGAAATAAGTCATTGATTTTGATAATTTCATCTACATGGAAAAATATCACCAAAAATTTCCGATTTTTAAGATAATTTAATTAAGTATTAAAATATTTTAGTTATTAGTCTGTTCTAAAGCTCAGATAATTTTTTACAGCAAGATGACATATACAGTTTAAAATCATGGCTTTGTTCAAGTAAAAGGCACTTAAGCTGCGACTTTTTTATTTTCCTACTCGAAAGAAGTTCGAAAAACCTTGTTAAAGTCGTTTCTTATCTGAATCAGCTTTCGAGGATATAAATCGCTTTTCCCCTTGGTTTTCAAATATAATTAATTACTTGCAATAACTTTGAAAATAAAATACATTGGATTTTTTTCAGCTATTGTCGGATTCAGATGTCCAGACAAGATTGTTGGTCTTTCATCTAAGTTTTATCCATTCCCAAGATATCCTCATCCCAATAATTGCCAAAAATTGATTGTTTGTGTTAATGAAAAACCACGTCTTCTCAATTGTGGGTACGGATCAGCTTTCAACTTGGATTCCTACACATGCGATGCAATTGAAAACGTTCCTGATTGGTATGTTAAAAGCATTACTTTTCTAATAATTGGAATTATAAGCTATCATCCAACGTAACGCTTTTTCATAAAAACGTAGCATCATAAGATGAATTCATTGCGCTGAAACATTATCCATATTTTTTTATCTTTGGAAGTACAATACCATCAAGTGTTCTATAACCTCTACCCTTACTATACATTTTCTGAATCTTTCTCAAAAAGAAAACTTTTTAACTTTATTTCCAAATGGAATATTAAAAATATTCCTTAATTACACTTATAATTTTCCTTAAAAAAACTTTGAATCAAATATAAGGCATCATTAAAAGTTATTGGTCGCTGCATATAATAGAGGAATTAAAGGTAATATTTCAATATTTTTGCGATAAATCTTGATGCAACAATTTAAATTTTATAACAACAAACAAATAAATTGAATCATAAGCACTATTTACATCAACTTTCTGAGTGAAACTTTTATCTTAGCTGATGTAAATAAATAATTAACAGATATCTATTATAAAAATGAAATATTTATTGCCTCTAAAGAAAAGGTCCACTTTAAAGTGATTGAAAACATACAGAAGCTCGCCTTGCGAGTTGTAGAACAAAACTAAGACTGAACTAAATCAATTTTTAAAAGATTAAAAATAAAGCAAATGATATGATAATCGATATAAAAAATACTAAATTAAGAAATATGCTCATAAATACGCAAACGATAGTTAATTAAATTAGATAGTGTTAATTTACAAACCATATTTATTTTTTAAAATAATAAGTTCTCTTAGAAATATTACAAAAAATGTATTTTATATAAACCAAATAATAATTTTGTTACAAACTGTGACCTGAAAGGAACTTAAAAGAAACTATATTATTTTTAACTGCTATGCATGCAATAAAAATACATAAAGTTTTGTTCATTTACAGTTTTATTCATTTATATGCGAGTTATTATGCGTTAGTTCATAAATATTTATCACACATAAGTTAATATTTTTAATGAACTCATAATTTTTTTTTATGCTTCTTTAATTATTTTTCTGTATTTTCATTATTTTAATATCTAAGTCAGTTATTTCATTCCTTCAGAAATGAAATTTAGTGTGTTATTCTGTATGGAACTAGTATCACCATACAGTTATATTATGAGTATTAATTTTAATAATTTATTTGATAACTTTCTTTTTCTCAACGTATTGATATTTTTTTCAATATTTATTCAGAAATAATTTTAAAATTTGTCATAAGTTGTAAACAAAAGTATGATATAATGAAGGTTTAAAAATAATTTGTTTAAAATGACAGTTTAAATGGAAACTAGAACAATGATTCAATTTTCTTAAAAACTTATCAATGTATGTTAGAAAGAAAATATAAGAAATATTTGTGATATTTTTTTTAAAGAGAACAGTTTCAATATATCATAAAAAGAACCGTAAATGTTAATAGTTCATTCCTCTACTTTTGAGAGGTAATTTGTAGTTTTTCAACAAGTTTTAAAAATTTCAGAAATTTTAAAAATTTTATTGCTTTTTGTAAAATTTCACATCAAGGCTTTTGTGGAGGACGAAGATGATGCATTGAAAAATTCACAAGTAATATACTAGATATAACTTTTAAGTATAGTAAGGTTATATACTAGATATATAACTTTTAAGTATAATAAGGTAATATACTAGATATAACTTTTAAGGTTTTAAATTATCGAAAGAAGAAAAAAATCGCTCCACCCTTTCGTAATGATTTAATCAAAATCATACATTCATTTTGAATTTAATTGTACCTTTTTGTTCCTGTAAATAATAGTTGTTCTTCTTTTTTAGCAAAGCATACTAAAAGTGTTCGCCAACAGAAGATGAAAAGAATGCACTGAGATTACTTCAGATGAAAAAATACTGTATGATTATCGCGTAAATTTAAATGTTACACATTATGAATCTTGTTAGTTTTTGATAATTGTTTTAAATATTTGATCGCTTACCTGAATGTTAACTTTTTATAATAAAAAAGTATTATTTTTCACAGTGTTTATTGTTCATGCTATATTTTAAGCCTAATCCACTTATGTTGAAATATAATGTTTTTTAATCAGAAGATTGTTAAAAAAAATGAATAAATTATGTTAAATATATGCAATTTTCATTTCATATATGGTAATAGCTAATTATGTTAAATAAGGTCACTCATGAGCTGCAATAGCGGCACAACTCAAAAATTCATGTTTTGAGATAAGTTGGTTTGAAGTTTTCATTGCTAAGGAAAATGCATAAGAAATGCTTTAGTTTGCTTAAACGAAGATTACCTTCAAGTTGAATTATGAGTTGTGCTAGTATTGCTGCTGAAAAGAATGTGCATTTCCATATTTACACCTGTTCTTAGTCCAAAACACGTGTTTTTTTAGTCGTGCCACTGTTGCAGCCATGAGCGATATGGTAATAGCGATTTATATTAAGTATATGGTAATAGCTAAATACTAATAGATAATTTGCATAGAAAATATTGAAATTTTTTTATAATTTTCGCAATCAGACTAGAGTTAAAATTTTGGCCCAAAATTCAGCATAAAATTGATTTTTGGTTTATAAAATTAAAAACTAATCAACACTGCAAAAAATTCCGGATCAAATTTCGGCTAAAAGTAGCGGAATCCAGGGTGCCGGTACTTACCATAAGATCCATTACCTTAATACCATTCTGTAAAAATCTGGTTTTACCTTAAAATCCATTTTTACCGAAACAAGTTACGGAGCAAAAGATCTGATATATTGCAATTTTTACAGTAAGAATTGTCGTAAAATTTCTGGATCACTCTAATTAAGTAAATATTTCCCTAAAGTTGAAGATATAACAATTTATGGCATTGGACTTTAATAATTGGACTTTATGGTAAAATGAATTTTTCGGATGATGCACCCAAAGTGCCGATCCTTTATACCGTAATTTGATCCAAACTTTTTTACAATGTACTTAATATATTTCAACATTTTAAATCACTTATGAACGTTTTCAATATCTTAATATTAATAGTTTATGCTTGATTAAATTATCTTTCACAAAAAGGCTTCTGTTGGCCCCAAATATAGTGTGCAGTTTACACAAAGTGAAATTTTTCTAAATATAAAAATTTGTATACTTTCTATTGTGTTTTTATTTTAAATGGTCATTTATGTTTAATAGCAAGTTTGAGTTGAATGTTCTTAAATTCCGTCATTTATTGATCATCGTGTCAAAATGCTTTCAACATTTCTTAAATTTAACATATTCAATTAACAATCCCTTACTTTTGAACATACATGGCAACGTTACTTTTAAAAAGTAACGAGTAAAAGTACAAGTATTTTTAAAAAAAGTAACGATTATAACCAAAGCGTTGCATATTTTAAAAAGTAACGAGTAAAAAGTACAAGTAAAAGTACAAGTACTAAACAAAAAAAGTAACGATTTAAAAGTACATTTCTAGGAAATCGAAAATTCAAAGTAACCTAAAATTTTATTGAATAATATTCTTATGTTCTTTAATGTTTTTGCAAAATTGTTGTTATTTATTTAATTATTTTTAATTTTGAAAGTTATGGACATTAATTTATTTTTAAATTCGGAAGAATATTATAATATAATTTTATAATATAATCGTATAATATAATTTTAAAATCAAATATAATTTTAATATCAAACTTTTTATGGATTTGCACGAAAAAGAAATTTTATCTATTGATTTTAATTTTTAGTTTATTATTTTTATTTATTTAAATTACCATTGATTTAAAATTGTTTTACTCTTTAGAAACGCGTTTTAAAAACACAAACATAAACAAAGCAAACACGGGGTTTCAGATAGCTTTGTGATCTTTGAGCTAGTAAAAAATAATTGAATGTGCAGTATAAGTTGAAACAGAAGGTATTTAAACACGAAGTTAGCTGTGAATGCATATATATTGCACATTAATTTTATAAATTAAAAAAACATAAGCATTTTTTTTAAATTTAATTTTTTGTTTTTTTAGAAAGCTTACCGAGTTTTAGAAAAAAGTAACGATTTCATTCGATATTTCCGTTACAAATACTTGTACTTTTTCCCTAAAAAAGTAACGAAAGTACAAGTAAAAGTACTAAATTTAAAAAGTAACGAAGTACAAGTAAAAGTACGTACTTTTTACTTGTACCGGCGGTACAAGTAACGAAAGTAAAAGTACTGCCATATATGCTTTTGAATAAATAAAGTTACAAAATAGAATTTTTTACTATTAAACAGTACGCAATTTCTGAGAGAAAGTGGGCTATAGCCCATGGTGGACATTTCAATTTTTCTTCTGTATCGTTAAGTAGTTTTAAAAATAAATTTTAAATTAAAAGATGTTGAAGGTTGTTTTATACAAAAGATGTAGATTTTTAATCATAAGATGTAGAAAGATGTTTTTAAAGAGATGTTATGCAGATCCACTGTGGTAATAATTGACAGCTGTCGCTATGTAGACTACAGTTAATTTTTTACTAACGATTTACATTTTTTACTAACGGTTACATTTTACTAACGATAAGGATTTAAATTACTTAGGTTTTTTACGGGATATATTTCGAAAAGTGAGACCTATCCACTTTCAAATATATAGTCAGTATTAAATTAAATTTTCATGAATACCAAAAAAATAAAGAGAAAAAAAAACTTTTATATTGGTTTATTTATTTTGGTTTTAACTTACCAATGAATTACTGTCTCATTTCTTCACTTCATTTCTAGACGTTTTTGAGTGGTTTGATGTTTGTGAAATAAAATAAAAACATAATTTAAAGTCGATATTTTACTTTGGTAATGCAATAACCTTTAATTTTGTTTTTAAATTATTTCACTTTTATTAAATTTCAAATAATGTCAATTTGAGAATGGGCAACTCCCAACAGGTAAGAGCATAGCACAGGCAATACAAAAAAACTTCTACTGTAAATTTATAATTCGTTTATTGATAAAAATAAACATAAATTATTGCAAAATTAATTTTAAAAATTAATTTTTTCATCAAAAAGGTCCAATTTTTGATATTTAAGCTGTTAACGGATCCAATTTCACCACAAAAATATTTTTTAAGCAGTTTTAATACTCTTTTTTGCCTTTTTTTTTCAGGGAGTATAATTTATCTTGGACCAGTTTCGGTCCCTGATACTTCGATCCGTAATTAATGCTCATAAAAATTACCTCTCTAACGTTAATTATGTTTTGTACAAGAAAATAATATAAAAAAATAATACGAACAAAAAATTTAATTTCAAAACTCCAGTTTGTGACAGTCGCAGATCTTTTAAAACGTTTAATTAAAAAACTAAAATTGAACGAGTTGAAAGACGGATTTCAGTGAATCGAATTGAAAGACTACTAAAAAATTCATTAGCAACACTAGTGACTTCAGCACTGACAATTTTGAAGTAACTTTGCCTTGGAAGTTTGGAATGTTATTCTTTAATTTGTTTTTCCTGTTTAACAATTATTATTTTCATTTCTTTTGCATCGTATTTTAACAGTGCATCTGGAGGACTATCTAACATCAGAAGACTGAACTAAATTTGTAATTCAGGGCTTTGTCCTGGATATCTAAGTTGTACTATTGACAAAGTACAAGGATAAGATATTCTGCTGTCTCATCCAGACTGAAGCAAATCGAAGTCTCAGTCTAGACATTTGTATGCCGAAATTGGTGTCAGAATTTTTTTTTTTAACTTTAAAAATATTAGAAAAATGTCACTATTTTTAAAAACACCCACACACAGTAATAATTATTTTGCAAAAATATTTCTCATCAACTACTTATAAGATAAGCTATTTCTTTCGTGTATGTCTCATAAAGTAAAAAGAATATGAAAATCAATAAATTACTAATGGGTATGAAAATATGATAACATAAATTTGAAATCAACATAAAAATTCAAATTTCATATTCATAATTTCATCATTGAAATAATCAACTAATGGAAAAATGCTTTTATTTAAATTATACTTCGTCCTTGATTGTAGTCAGTAGCTTTTTTGTTTATTCTTTACATGAACTTTCTGATTTTCAACATAGGCATGAATAAGACAAATTTTCAATTTTATCTAATTAAAGTAGCATTTTCAATATGAGAGTTTTTTATCATATCAGATATAATATGCGCACCATTGTATTTTTAAATTAAAATACGATTCTAAAAATATTTATTTTTTTGTCTTGTATATTTTTCTTCAAATGATTTTTTTAAATTTCACTCTCACAGTTCGTAGCGACATCTTTCGGTAATGCAGTTAACTACACATTTATATGGTTTGCTTATTATTATTAATAATAATGTCATAATATTTATGCTATTATAGCAACATACAAGAAATAAGAAATTTAACTTAAAAATGTAAAAATTGGCTACAAAATAAGAATATTTTCCTAAAAACAATTCTACTTAAAGACAGAAATTAGTGGTTAGATCTAGTTGTCAACTGCAGAAATAATAAATTAAAAGAAATAAAAATTGTAGAATAAAAAAATTAAAAGATATAAAAATTGAAGAATGAATAAAATAAAAATTTAAATTATAACTTAACGAGGAAAATTTGATGTAAACAAGATTTAAAATGTCACTTCTTTTCATACCATTAAAATTTTGAGCTGAATAAATAAACACATGCTCGTTTTTTAAAAAATAATATCTAATTAAATTAACGTTGCGTTTAATAGTAAATTCAATTCCACAATTCCCTCATTCTTTTGGAAATACTTTCCTACGACTAGAAAAATTCATATTTGAAGCTAAAATGTATTTTTGCATGAAAGCAAAACAGGTAACCAACTGTTAAGCAAATTATTTTTTTCATTTTTTTCCATAATGCATTACTAAAGAAAGACAATCCGTTTTATTTAAAAATCTAGAATTGATCTACAATCTAAATAAATTTATATTTAGCTGGAATAAAATGTATGACAAATTTTTTCATTTAAACCGAGAATTAACATTATAAATATATCATATACACTTATTACTGTGGCGCAAACTAATGCAAGAATTTTAAAACAAATAGAATTCTTATAAGACTTTGGTAAGGACTTTAGACCATGTCTATTTCTCCATCTGGTCATTAATATAGAGTTTAAGTTTTTTTATAAGTAGTAA